TAGTGCCTAAAGCACTTGACTGCTAACCAGAAGGCTGGCGGTTCACACAGACCAGCCACTCCTCAGAAGGAAGGTTGGACAATCTACTTCTGTAGTGATACCATCTCAGAAACCGAAGGAGGGGTCGCTATGAGTCGGGTCTGACTCGACAGCACAAAACAACAACAACAACAACATATATGTGTGTATATATATGTGTGTGTGTGTGTATATATATATGTATATGTGTATATATATATATATGTGTGTGTGTGTATATGTGTGTATATTGGAGAGAGGTTAAAGGGATGCAGGCAATATATTAGTGTCAGTGATATGAACAGTAATTAATCCTTGGACTGTGTGTTCTCAAAGGCAGTGTAAACAAGGATTCATGACTCACTTCATTAGATCTATATGGTTTCACATTGGTAATTTTAGTAGTTTAGTTATTTGATTTGATGGAGGTTCTCACATTTAAATTTTGGCCTGTACTCCATTAATGCAAGCTTGTCAAATAAATCATCTGAAGTTTGAAATTGTTATCTTCACAGTGGTGTAGGACCATAAGAGAAGTTTTGGAAAACAGTGAATTGCTAGGATTGAAAAACACTGTGATGCAGCTAACATGCACTTTTTACAAGTTTTGATCAGTCTCTCCAAGTGTTATTTTTTTTATTATACCCTTAAGGAATGCATTGTTTTGAAATACAGACTACTGACGATTAGTACATAGATGCTGTAAGAATTTGGTTAAATACTGGAGCATGGATTTGTTGGTTTTGGAGATTTTTGTCTTGCTTTTCTGATAGTGTTCATCATCCATTTGACACTTTCTTTCTGTTAAACTGAAATAGAAAATAATTACAGCTGAATCATGTTGCAAAATATATGACCTGCATGGCCTTGTTACTGATTGGTACGTGGCACAGGTCAAATCGTGTTCTTAAAACGTAACTGCTTAAAACAAAATCCTGATATAGCCTGTTTTGGGCGTTAAGTGAGCATTCAGGACTTCTGCTTTATTAAATGCACAATTTTGGGGCACAATAGACAGTTTAAGAAGTGAGGCTCTAGCTTACCTTATTTTGGAACATCACAGTTTAAAAACAAAAATTGATTTCAGTCATTGGATGTGAAGTAATTTTTTAAGAGCAATCCATGGCTGCTACCTTTTTCTGTCAAAACAATAATGTGACTGTTGGAGTCTTGTTTTCAAGCTTTACTATTGATGCCAAATAAATTTTAAGTATATCTTTTGATATTACATTTATTGAACATGTAATTACAATAAATATCATGGTTTAAATAATGTTTAAGCATCATTGTTTTAAAAAATATCACTTAAATTAAAGAATCTTCTCTTTTCTCTCATCTTGAAAAGTGGTTTGGAAACTTGGTTACCATGAATTGGTGGAACAATATCTGGCTCAATGAGGGTTTTGCATCTTATTTTGAATTTGGAGTAATTAACTACTTCAATCCTAAACTCCCTAAAGTAAGTATTTTTGCTAAATTTATTAATTATATTCCTCCAAATTATAAAAGTAATGTGTATTTATTGTTGAAAATGTATAAAATATAGAAAAATATAAGGAGTATTAAATGATCTCTAATACCAGAGATAATCAGTGTTATTTTTAGTTGTGTTTGTACCTCAGGTTTTTTACCTACTGTAAACATTCATAAAGGTGGGAATTAGATAGAAATTTGTAATGCTTTTTGTACTTCATATTACATCATGAACAATTCCAAAAATCATTAAATCATTTTTGAAAACAAGATTTTTATGGCCAATATTTTATTCTGTCACCCTTATAAGTATATGATTATAATTTTCCTTGTTAGATTTTAGATTTATTCACTTATTCCTACCTACACAAAATTTAACATAATTGTTGTAATAATTAGTCTATGACCTTAGTCAATCATATTAAATGTTATTGCTGATATTTTTTTGCTGCTTTGAGTAAATGGTGATATGGAAAAATAAATTCATGGATATGCAAATATGATTATTTTAACTGTAGTTTATACTTCTGCTACTTAATCTACTTAGAGTAATTGGGTAATGCTTTCAGAAGGCATAATTCAGCCAAACTGGTTTGCTTTTATTTACATCTTAAAATGTTTAGGTGTAATGTTATCTTTTGAAAATGACCTTACCTCTTTATAGCAAACCAGAAGGCCTTTCTCGGTTCTCATCTTCTTTCTCTCTTATTTCCAAGGCTAGATTCATGGCCTCTTTCTCTACTCTCTTTCTTTTCTCTTTTCTCTATTCTCCTTCATTCAAAGATTTTATTGATACTGAAATGATTTCTACTGGCCAGATCCTTCTTACAGCTAAATTTATTCATTTTAAAGGAGATTCTAAGATTACATTCTTTCTATTTTGGGTAGTAAAATTTTTCCTTTGTTTATGAAAGGATGGTGATGGATACTAGGTAGATGATTTTGATTGCTTTGCAAGATAAAAAGTTGATAAACCTATGTTGACCTCACAGAAACTTAAAAAAAAAAAAAACTTAGAACATGTACTATTTCAGAAGTGCCATTGCCTGGAGAGCACTGGTGGAGAGCAGCCTCTTGATACTCCACTTCCATGACATGCACTCTCTTCTTTGTGGACATTCTCTAAAATGCCCCCCTCCCAGCCCCTCTGCAGTGCCTCAGACCTTTCTCACCTGACTGTACACAGCCCTGCTTGTCCCGAGAGGGGTTTGAACATCATCATATAGATGAGGAAACTGAAGTACTAAAAAGTTAAGTTGTACTAAAAGATAAAGTGACTTATCCCAAAGTCATTTGCCTAATTGGAATAGAGCTCTGATTATAACTTAGTTCTCTGGGGTATTCCGATGGTGATGGTAATAATAATAACAGTTACAGTGTATTTACCTTCTTTGAGCACTTGGGATTTAATATGTGGTAGTATGAGTCCTGGGAGTTCTGGTGGCGTAGTGCCTAAGGCATCTGACTGCTAACCAGAAGGCTGGTGGTTCAAACCCACTAGCCACTCCTTGGAAGGAAGATTGGGCAATCTACTTCTGTAGTGATACTGACTGGGAAACCCAAGGAGAGGTTGCTATGAGTCGGATCCAACTCCATGGCAGTGAGTTTGTTTTTTTTGGTTTAGTATGAGTTCTATACGTATATCATTTTACTCAAGCTGCAAAACAACCCTGTAAGTGTAACTATTATTATCTCTGTTTTACAGATGAGGAAAGTGAGGCATTGAGGCATTAAGTAAGTTGCCCAAGGTCTCATGACTACTAAGTGTCAGCACTGGTATTGAATTTCAGGTCTCTCTGACAGCAAAAACCATGCTTTAGCCACTGGCTCTACAGATAAAGCTCAGGGGAGTTTTCTTGTTCTTAAGGTGCTAATGGTGTGCATGCATGCTTCAAATGACTCTTTTCATATCAAGTCATGGCCCATATGACATTCATTTGGGCAACAACTGTTTATACAGCCATGGTCTGTGCATCCTCCAGGGGATGCCTGTAGCCCAACTTAATAGAAAGCCTACCCCACTGCACCCCCACCCATTGGAACAGACACCCCCATTGGTGGGAGGTGTAGGCCCAGGATCCTGCTAATGAATGCCCAAGGACATTGGCTCCCCCGATGCCTCAGCCCACACCTGGAGCCTTCCTGCTTTGACATTCACAGTCGTGTGCTGGGAATGACCCCCTGAGCACTTACCTGAAGGGTCTGCAGTGAAAGGTGCCCAGGCCAAGCATGGTACAGTAGCTGCCAGGCTGATGCACCTGGGAGCCCCCACCTCATGCCAAGTGGACATTTGCACAATATCCAAATGATACAACGTCCTATTTCACAGAATGTATGGTGGATGTTAAGCAACATATGACTGTAGATAGATAGCTATAGATAGAGATGTGTGTGGGTGTGTGTATGTATACGTGTATTACTATAGCAAAACAAAACCCCAAACCCACTGTTATCAAGTCAATTCCAACTGATAGCGAGCAACACTGGGTTTCCAAGGTAGTAAATCTTCACAGAAGTATATTGCCTCATCTGTCTTCCTCAAAACAGCTGGTTGGTTTGAACTACCAACCATCTGGTTAGCAGTCAAATGCCTTAGGCACTGCATCACCAGAGCTCCTTTCAATATGCAAATAAATTTTATATACATATAGTAAATCTGAGTTGCCTTCTAAGTCCTTTTTTATATTCTATAACTATGAATTTTTTTGATTCTCTCTTTTATAAACTAGAATCTACAAATGGTTAGTGCCATCTACAACTGTTTTTTAAAGCATTTGACTGTATTCCAAATTAACTTAGAGTCAATAAAGGAAGAAGTTTCATTCCCATCCAACAATTAAATTCACCCTCTATTTTCTTAATTGGACAGAATATATCATTAACATCAATTTCAGTTATTTCTTAATGCAACTAAAATGGCCATGATATTATCAGTATCTGGAAAAACATAACTGATAAAAGTTGATGAAAGCATATTACTGGTGTTTGTGAAGCTAAGAGTTATGTCTTTTTGTACCATTTAGTTATTTCATCATTGGCTTTATCATTGGTTTCTCAATCACTATCTTGTAAGTCTACATTTCTCAGACCCTTGTGTAACTGAGTGAATAACCCTTGCCAGAAGAGTATCAGATCCTGGGTCTTGAGGAAATTTCCCTAAGCTTTGTTTTTAAAAAACCTTGTCTTTGCTTCAATTATCTTTAAGAGATCAGGACCTTTGGCTTCATTTTAATTTCATGGTTTGATTGAAACTAAGTAAGAAAATCACAGAACCAGATTTCCATTATTTTTTTCTACTTCTTGGTCTGATTTCAACTGAAAGTTAAATTAAAGCATGACATGAGTGGGTTATGGTCAGGGATTCAGAACTTTAGGACCAGTTGATTTCTTGGCTCTTGCAGCTCTAGCTCCGATATTGGCATTCATTCAACTTTTTCCCATCTCCTTTTCTCTGTCTGGCCCATGGGTTGCACAAATGGTTAATGCTTGACTACTAGCTGAAAGATTGACCTTTGGAACCAACCCAAAGGTACTTCAAAAGACTGGCCTGGCAATCAGCTTCTAAAAGGTCATAGTCATAAAAAACCTGTGGAGCAGTGTTACTTTCCACACATGGGGTCTCCATAAATTGGGATTGATGGCAACTAACAACAAAGAAGCTGCAGACTGGGTGAAGGGAAAGGGCATATAAAAGCCCTGTAGCCAATCGAATCTTGCTCTGTCGTCTAGTACTATTATGAATAGCTGAGGCAAGTAGCTGACCACCTCTGAACTGTGATTCCTCATACCTAAAACAGGATTCACATAGTCGTTCAACAGACTATTGAACATCTACTCTGTATTATTCTGACCAACCATTATCAGGCACTCATTATATACTTATAGGGTATTATATACATTATCTCAGCCAATCCTTAGAACAACTCTGTGAGGAAATAACAGTAGTAATAACAGCAGTGGTTAATGCTTACTTAACTTGGAGGAGTCCTAGTGGCAAAGTGGTTAAAGCACTTGGCTGCTAATCAAAAGGTCGGTAGTTAGAACCCACCAGCTACTATGTGAGAGAGAGACACGCAGTCTGCTTCTGTAAAGATTACAGCCTTAGAAACCATGTGGGGTAGTTCTCCTCTGTCCGATAACATCACTTTGAGTTGGAATTGATTTGAAAGCAATAGGTTTGGTGCTAAGAATTTTATGTAAATGAATTTAGTCTTCATAACAATCTACTGAAGACAGTGTTGTTATCCTAATTTTGCTATGGCAGCACAGCTTCAGAGAGTAAAAATGTTTTATGAGTCACACAAATCCTAAGAAGCTGAGGTAGGATTTAAACCCAGGCAGCTCAACTCCAAAGCCTGTGATTTTATTTATTTATTTATGACTTTATAGAGCAGATTTTTTTTTTTTCTCCAAGTTCTGGAGGTTAGAAGTCCAAATCAGGGTTTGGCCATTGATGATTCCTTCCGTGATGGTAGCCCTGGCCATTCCTTGGTTCCTTGGTTTTCCTTGGCTTATAAATGATCTTCACATGGCATCTGCCTTCTACTCTGTATGTCTCTGTGTCTATTCTGCTCTTTTTATACCTCAAAAGTGATAAGGTTTAGAATCCACTCTACCCTGGTATGACCTCAGTAATACAACAAAAGAAACCCTACACAACAAGATCACATCCACAGGTCAGGAATTCAACACATATTTTTTGGGAACACAGTTCAATCCATAACAAGTATATTAGTTCACAAAGAATGAGAAGAGTGCTGAAAATATAACCCTTGACACAGTAGCTTCAACAAGGGGCTCACTGCCTGGTCTTGTGCCAGCCTCGCAATCTTTGCTATACCTGTCAATCCATCTTGTTGAGGGCCATGCACCAACATATACAACCCAGACAAAAATAGAATAACCCTCAAGGAGATTTTAAAAAAAAGGGGGAGGGTATCACAAAAGTAGGAAGCAAAGCATAGTGTGTCCTGAAACAACAAAAGG